TTCGCTCAAGTGTCCCGATAGCATTTATCACAGACAAAGTTGTTGTCAGCTGTTGCAGCATGTGGCGTGACGTCACGCGCGAGCCCGCGACAGTGTGACGTCACGGCCTTCAACTTGATCGTCCGCTCGCGACCTCGCCGCGCGTACGCGGAACGTGTTGTTGCGATCAGTATTTAAAATTAAATATAGTACATACTATTATGTACGAATGCGAAAGTACGAGTAACTGTGTTGGTCAGCCAAAAATCTTTTCTTTAGAAACTCAACGTGCCTTACGCGATGAAAACTGGTGTAAAATAACATTTCCGTACTAAATTCACAGCTAAATGTCAATCTATTTAAACTAGGGATCAACACAAGTTTAGCAAACTTCCACAGTTTACCTATTAGTTATTCCGTGACTCTTCATTTTCAAGATAACTTTGAGGCTGTAAACAATAAGCTTCTTACTAAGCGTAAGCGTAAACAAATTTAGGTGTCATGTTTATTTCAACTGCTAATAAAAACAAAATTCTTGTTACCATAGAAGTCCCTTAAAAATTAGGGATTGATGGTGAAAACGGGCATAAGACTAATAATATTAATAAAATCAGTCGCCTGAACTGTGAATTACTACTGCCTAAGTGCCTACCTTGAAATGAAACTAAAGCGCGCCACTAGTGCAACCGGTGCATTTCGCGAACTCTGCATAATAAAACAAAACGCAATGCAGATGTTACAAAAATATGTTTAAACTTTATTTTCCACTAGCTGACCCGGCGAACTTCGTACCGCCTTAGCGTAGAGATTTTCTTAATATTTTTTTCCGTAAGAACCATCCTTGGACTTCCACAAACATTTAAAAAAAAGAATTATCGAAATCGGTTCAGCCGTTCACACGTGATGCCGTGACAACGCGAAACGGGTTTCATTTTTATATATATAGATATTATTATTCACTTATGCCAATATTGTCGTTGTAACAATTTCACACCTATACCTCAGTTAAATTTAATTAATTTTCTTGTGCAGAGTAGAGGATTTAAAGTTGGATTGAACCTGAAAAAGGCTTTTTGTTTAAAAACGGTAAAAGGATTTATATATATATCTATGATGGATTCTCCATCATTTCTCATCATATTAGGAATTTATGACGATGAATTTATTTATACTTCTGACTAGAAACACACGAGTAAATCTTTACTTTATTTTAGATATCCCCATCTACCGCAGGACTTTTGTTGAACCCACTCCTAACAACGGGATATTACTAATTTGTTTACGACAAATAGTTTTTTTAATTTTCTACTTACTACCCCTTTATCTAATAGTGACAAAAAGCCATAATATTTTTAACTCCCTATCGAAATAACTTACAAAATGCAAAGCTTTTTCTAATTCTATACCTATTCAATATTGCACAATTTTTCCGTCACTCACGCCACGTAAGTGGTTAGGGCGTGTGTCAATCGCAGAACTCATTTTAACTGACACTAAATGGCGGTTAAAACGGAAAACCAGCGTTTTGTGTATATTTAGACCACTTTCTTGGTGTCAGGTGTCATTGGGAAATTAGATAATTGATACCTAATAATTGTTACTTTTGTGCCTTTGTCAAATGGTTTTATTTTACATATTATACACTAGCTGACCCGGCGAACTTCGTACCTCCTATGTATATCAAAATAATGTAGGATAGTGAAAGAGTTTTTCAAATCGGTCTAGTATTTCGGAGCCTATTCAATACAAACAATCAAATCTTTCCTCTTTATAATATTATTGTAGAAATAGAGATATATGTATAACTTTATGAGAAAAAGATATCTACTATAACTAAATTAAACTACAGATGGGAAATTAAGTTGTAATAATTTGTCGGCCGTTTGGTGTAGTGGTTCAGAACGGACTACTATGCCGAGAGGTCCCGGGTTCGATTCCCGGCCGGGCAGAAATTGCAATGATGAATTTTAATTTCTGTGACGGGTCTGGGTGTTACTATGTATAATATGTATGTATTTAAAAAAAAGTATATAAAGTAGTATATCCGTTAAGCTAGCACCCATAACACAAGCATTAAGTTGCTTACTTTGGGGCTAGCTGGCGTTGTGTGAAAAGTGTCCAAAGATTTATTTATTTATTTATTTATTATTTAATAATCTCAATCTCACTGTGACTGCTATTTAATATATTTAAGTAGCCTAGACTGTAAACTGTTTGTATACTCGTACCTGCCTGTTACAAATAAATAAATATATAGTTTTGTGGTTCGTTATACGCACCTAAGATATCATTATCTTAATTTGGAAAAATATTCAAGCCATTTAGTAAAATTCGACGATGAAAAGTGTAATTGGGGAAACCATAAAAATGTCTTCAAAATCCAAACGGTTTGCGCNTAACTATGCTGCTTCTGGATATCTTTGTACTTGACTATCTGAGGAGTTGACCGCCATGTTTCCGCTTACCCTCCTCAAGTTCAAAGTAGAAGATTGATTCCTACTACGCTAATTGAGGACGAAAGACGCAGGAGGACAAAGTGACTGACATAGCCCACAGAATCGCTAAAATCAAGTGGCAGTGGGCGGGCCACATATCTCGTAGAGCTGATGGCCGCTGGGGCAGTAAAGTTGTTTGAGTGGCAACCACGAGCCGGAAGACTAGCGTGGGCAGGCCTCCCACTAGGTGGACCGACGATTTGGGGAAGGTCACAGGAAGTGCCTGGATGTGAGCGGCACAGGACGTCTTTCGGCTGAAACGAAAGAACTGACGCTAAGAGAGATGGCTAAGCTAAAGAAATAGCCAAAATGGACCCTCGTAAAGCACTTGCATTTAATCTGATCACCATGAAGTCCATGGTCTTGACAATGACCACACTGAGTGAGAAGAACCTCGCAAGTCTATTAACTTTGGAAATTATCCATAAGGCTGGCAAGTCGCCTAACGCATTCTCTTATCGCTCAATTAATCTGACATTTGTATTGTTAAAATTATTATTCTTGCTCGTTTATTCCCTTGCCTAAGTATGACAAATGTAATATAGTATACCCGACCATACATTTTGGCAGAAACCATACCAACCATAATCAGTACAATGTTTGAAAAAGAAAGAATCCTGTACGTCTGCTTTCGCTGCGGCTTCAGCTGGGTTTATCATAAAGGACTACTCTTTGAAATTAAAAAGTACCTTCTAGCACACTTCTACTACCTGCGGATGGATTATTATCTCAGTGACAGACAGTTTTAAATCAAACTCGGTGACAAAATCTTTTTCGCTCTTTTTAGCTGCAGAGCTGGAGTACCCCAGGACTCTGTATTTGGTTCGATGCTCTATAACATCTACTAGTAAAGTAGCCCAGACACCAGAATGCTGCGGCATTCCTCAAATGTAACTGTGATCTTAAAGTGACTAGACTTTTGCAATGTCAGCTGCTTGGCTGACCAAGTGGCGCATGTAATTAAGCCCCGAAGTCTCACCATATTATCATTTAAGACGTGAAACTTATCCTCCGGCCAATCTAGACCTCGACACATTGCTGCAATCAACCCGCATTAAAATCCTGGACCGTAGGATGACATGGAAAGACCATAAATATAAATAAAACAGAACTGAATATAATATTCCACCGACAGTCAGCTAATCCAACATTAACTATGTGCCTCCAAAGAGCTCAAAAATACATGTTAAGGGTACTTTTATCGGCACATTACGGTACGCTCGCCTTTAGGAAATACACGAGAACCTGATCTCAGCCAAACCCGCTATCCAAATATCAAAGTATCTTAATCAAGAGAGCTAATTTACTAAGGTAAACCACTGCTTCAGTGGCTCGAACCCCAACCAACTGCAAATCACCTGATTGGTCTTGACGACAGATACTAAAAAGCAGATTTAAAAAAAAAAACCTAATGAACAAAGGTCAAACAAGGTCACGCCGCCGACGCCGCCGCCGCCGAGGTCAAAAAGTCGGCGCGCCGCCGCCGGCCAATTATATATCGGCGCCCACCTCTATTACATGGATCTCACAACTTTTTACCGTAGAACAACTGAGTTGCGAGACTTGGTTTTTTTGACAAGTATTGTTTTTGATGGGATTATATTATTGTAGAAATAGAGATAGAAACTTAATGAGAAAAAGATATCTACTATAACTAAATTAAACTACACACACAATCTTGGTTTATTTGGTCCTGTAATTACAGATGGGAAATTAAGTTGTAATAATCTCAATCTGCCTAGACTGTAAACTGTTTGTATACTCGTACCTGCCTATTACAAATAAATAAATATAATATGTATAGTTTTGTGGTTCGTTATACGCACCTAAGATATCATTATCTTAATTTGGAAAAATATTCAAGCCATTTAGTAAAACTCGACCATAAAAATGTCTTCAAAATCCAAACGGTTTGCGCCATCGTGCGTGACACGTGAATTAATTCAAAATCTCAAGTGTTAAGTAAAGAGTTGTTGTAACGTTACGTAACAGTTTATTGGTTCACCTTTACACCTCACACAAGTTACAAGCTAACAGAGATAATGTTAGTTAAAACGCGACGTTCAGTTCAGTTGTTAATACTAACCGAATTGAAAACCTCCTCTTTTTGGAAGTCGGTTAAAAGCAATGACAGATGGAGACGTGAAGTTTAGCCAATGCCTCTACGTAGGTAATCTCAATATACAATTTATTTATAACTTAAGAAATACTATTCATAATTGGAGGTAGATTCTAGATTCCTGTTAAAACGACGAGAAAAGTTGTCGTTATAACCATTTTTCTATAGGTAGTCTAGGTTTGCCCGCGCTTTCCATCGTTCACATTAAGATAACCTACACTCAGGCAGGAATAATGTAATTATGCTTTCTATCGACTAAGTACCTAGTTCCCAGAAGTAACTTCGTCGCTTTACAAACTTTAGGTACCTTACTTTCCCTGTATTTTTTTCTAATCAAATGTAGAACTAATCCCTCATCATTCTTATGGCTAATTCATCATAATAATTCTTTTCTCTTTTGCCCTTAGGCAAAGAAGTCCAAAAGCGATGGCGCTCGATCCGCGACTCGTACACGAAGGCGTTCCGGCAGGGCAAGTGCGTGCTGCCCGAGCAGTGCCCGCCCGGCAGCCGCCGCTACCAGTACCACCGCCAGATGGCCTTCCTTCTGCGAGCACTGCAGAACAAGTCAGTATAGCATGCCCAGATAGCTTCTAGAGAGAGCCAATGAGCTTGGTCTTCTAAAGCGAGCTACTGAGCTTGATCCTAGCCTGGTGTCGGGAGCTACCAGTACCACCGCCAGATGACCTCCCTGCTGCGACTACTGCAGAACAAGTCAGTATAACATAGCCAGATAGCTTCTAGAGCCACTGAGCTTGATCCTAGACTACCTTTACCAACAGCTATCACTACCGCCGGCGCCTGTTGCAAAACAGAGTTGCATTAGAAAGCTCCGCAGAACAAGTAGCTACAATATGGCCCTGAAGCCACTGACCAATTGAGCTTAGCCCTCACCTGTTACCACCCTACTTTCGGCCACCCTTGCCTCTGTCCAGGCCTCACTACTCCACTCTTTACGAAGCTTCTAGGCGACATGAGTCTGATCCTAGCCTGCTCTTTACCAAGAGCTAGCAATGCCACCACTACATGTTGTTCATGTAGCTCTCTTCGATCCTTTTGCTATTCCACATTGGTCACTAAGCGATGGCGCTCGATCCGCGACTCGTACACGAAGGCGTTCCGGCAGGACAAGTGCGTGCTGCCCGAGCAGTGCCCGCCCGGCAGCCGCCGCTACCAGTACCACCGCCAGATGGCCTTCCTGCTGCGAGCGCTGCAGAACAAGTCAGTATATATGGGCCCTTGTCCAGGTCTAGGTGAGCTTGATCCCAGTCAGGCTCTTTCTAGAGTTATCCACAGGTCCAAGTCTCTTCACCAACAGCTACCAGTACCACCGCCAGATGATCTTCCGGCTACGCGCGCTGCAGAACAAGTCAGTATACCACTTGTGTCCTTGTCCAGGGCTTTTCTAGAGCTAGCCAGTGAGCTTGGTCTTCTAGAGCGAGCCACTGAGTTTGCCCGTTGCTAGGATCTACCAGTACCACCGCCAGGTGTCTTTCCTACTGCGAAACAGAACTGCGAAGAAAGGTCCACAGAACAAGTCAGTACAGCATAGCCTGAGGACACTCTTGCCTCTGTCCAGGCCGCTGAGTGTTCTTGAGCGTTCGCCCTCTCTTATCAAGCTTCTAGGTGACATGAGTCTGATCCTAGCCTGCTCTTTACCATGAGCTAGCAATGCCACCACTACATGTTGTTCCTGTAGCTCTCTTCGATCCTTTTGCTATTCCACATTGGTCACTAAGCGATGGCGCTCGATCCGCGACTCGTACACGAAGGCGTTCCGGCAGGACAAGTGCGTGCTGCCCGAGCAGTGCCCGCCCGGCAGCCGCCGCTACCAGTACCACCGCCAGATGGCCTTCCTGCTCCGAGCGCTGCAGAACAAGTCAGTATGCCACGTCCACTTGTCCAGGGACCAGGATACAATGGTTCGGTCTTCTAGAGCGAGCTACTGAGCTTGATTCTAGCCTGGTATTTGCCAGAAGCTACCAGTACCACCGCCAGATGGCCTTCTTGCTGCGAGCGCTGCAGAACAAGTCAGTATACCACGTCCACTTGTCCAGGGACCAGGATACAATGGTTCGGTCTGCTAGAGCGAGCTACTGAGCTTGGTTCTAGCCTGGTCTTTGCTAAGAGCTTTGCAGAACAAGTCAGTATAGCATGACCAGATAGATAGCTTCTAGCTAGACTCTAGAGCGAGCCATGAGCTTGATCCAAGCCTGCACGTTGCCAAGAGCTACCAGTACCACCGCCAGATGGCCTTCTTGCTGCGTGCGCTGCAGAACAAGTCAGTATACCACGTCCACTTCCCCTGGGCTCTTCTAGAAGAGCGAGTCAGTGAGCGTTGTCTTCTAGAGCGGACTAGTGAGCTTGATTCCAGTCAGGTCCTTTTGCTACTCCACATTTGAACTACATACCACCTACTAAACTAGATACTAAGGTCACTGAGCCATTGAGCTTCAGCTCTCGTCTCTTGCTCTGATGTCGTTCCTGCGAGCTCTGCAGAACAAGTCTGTATACCACCTATGGCTTTGTCCAGGTCTCTTCTAGAGCGAGGCAATAAACTTGATCCCAGCCTGCTCTTTACCAAGAGCTACCAGTGCCATCTCTGCAGAACAGTCAGTATACTATGTCCAGCAAAGATACTTCCAGAAACGCTATCCAAAATTTCGATTGCTTCCTTTCCTCTCACGCAATGCGAGATTCCAACATGAGTGGCAGTGATATAGATCCAAAACTAGGTACATAAAAGATGTTAGGGAAAGCCCTGCCCAAAAGCTTCTAAGCCTGAAGGCTGCTGAGTCTGATCCCAGTCTTACCAATAGCTACCAGTACCACTAGCAGATTTCCTTCTTACTGCGCTATAGCCTCCGCTGTTCGCAATTCCGAATGCAAGAACCGATATGCTAAAAGAGGCGCCAATTACCAGAACGTTGCGTACACTCAATGTAGTAGCTAGAACCGTTGACATTTATTCAGCTGTTCTTTGACTGAATTCACCAAGGTTACATTATTTATTCTATGTTAATATGTTATAGCGATAGCGAAAATTTTAATTGTTAGATAATAAATACTAATTAATCTACTCTATCGCATTGGGGTAACCTGTAATTTTAGAGATATTATTGTTAATTAAATAAATAAATAACATCCCACTTATTACCGTTGTAACTTTTCCAGGAAACCGAAGTACGAGTGCCATTCCGACACATACTCCAACTCGCCCCAGCACCCGCCACCCGAAGACATACCAAAACTTAACGCAGAACTAGAAAAACCTCTAGATCTCAAAACAAAACCTGACAAACCAGAAGCAGAAAAACCAGAAACCGTAGACAAATGCAACCAAGCAGTTATGGCGGAAAAGCCGATTGAGATCAAAAACCCATCGCTCGAAATCAAAATCGACGCCAACTCGATCCTCCCAGACGATCATTTCGATGACGATAAACTGTTCATGAATTCTCTGCTTCCACTTTTCAAGAAGATGGACGATGATACAAGGCTGCTGTGTAGAATTGAGGTTTTAAAGATTATCAGGTACGCATTACAAGGACACAAGTGCTTCGAAGCGTTGAGGATGGCGGAAGACAGCTTCTTCAAGAACAAGATCAGTGGGATTCTGATGAAGGAGGAGATCCCAGACACTCCAGTCAGCACACCAAAAGCGACGGAGTCTAAGTTGTCTATGACTACCAGATCAGCTGATGGCAGCAGACCTGTGAGGAAACGGAAGGTAACTTAACTTTCTAGTTTTTGCTTAACATTCCAATTTTGAATTTTAAAAACCTTTTGATATTCTACACAGATTCAAGTGATAGATCAAAATACTGAAATACAACCAAACTGCACTTTCATGATCTCTTAAAGCATTGATATCGTAATTAATACATGTTTTATATTGTCAACAGACCAGATCACCTTCTCCAACTCAAGTGCCAGTCAAGCGGAGAGGCCCGGGCCGCCCTAGGAAGGTAAATAAATATCATTTTATTGTGCATCTTAATTTATGACTGCTGCTACCTCATCAAGCCAAGCTATTGGTCTAGTGCCTGAGATACGGGACCGGCACGGGAAGTTTTTGTAACGTGAAACGTCAGCGAGACTTCAGATCTCCTTCACAATTACATGCTTGTCACGTCACAATATGTAGGAATTGAAATTCAGGTTGTATTTCTTCAGCTTTATTTGTATTTTCTCCAGTATAAAAACCACAAAAATAGGAAAGTCTTAACCGTCTTAACCTCTCCTATGCTTTGTCTCATATCTGTGCAACCTCTGTCCACTGCTTTGTCTCAGATCTAAGACAAGACTACTTTGCATTTTGAAACATCATTTGAAAACCGTAGCAGTTGGGGGTGCAGTTTTGCGCGGCTCAAAAGCACGCCAAAGGTTAATACCAATCGTCTTCTGTTTGAAATCCCGTCGTTCTTACTTCCTCACTCATTCGTTCCGTCTCACTCACTCCCTTGCGTTCCGTTTCACACTCCCACATGTGAATGTCACCCCTCCCGTGAGACTCCCATCATACGTTAATCCCTAGACCTATAGTTAATAGCGTTATCTGGCTAGTGATAATAAAAGTCACTAAGTAAATTATCTGAAATATTGTACATTTAAACAAAACTCTCCCTAATTCTTTCCAGGTCCGCCCTCCGCCATCGGACTCTGAAGAAGAACACCATACAACGAGGAAACGGTGCCCCAAGATGAAGGTGGTCCCCGTGGAGGTCCCACACGTTATGAGCGAGATGGATGAATCGCTCAGTACTGCTACTAGCGTCGCGCAGCTTTCCACGCCGCTGTTTATGAAGGTATAGACCCCTGTAGAAGTCCTTGGTTATAGAGAGAAGATCCCAAAAATGACCCCTGAGGAACGCTTGATAGTAGTAGTAGGATCCAAAACTGACCCTTGAGGAACTCCGCTCTAATAGAGAAGAAGTCCTCAAATTCACCCCTGAGGAACTCCTTGGTATTGTAATGGAGGTCCTAAAACTCACCCCTAAACAGCTCTTCGCTAATAAAGCTTATGGTAATGTGGGTGATATCCCAAAACTGTCCCCTGAGGAGACCCTTGGTAATATTCTCATCATTGTCAAATGTCTTTTAGAAAGTCCTTGATGATACATTTCTATCTTTTTTTTAGTCTTGTAAGTTATATTTGTTTATAATCTTCATTAGAAGAAAACGTATTTGTATTTCTGTTTTTCATTTAACTATGATTTTATGATTACATTTTTCATTTTCTTTACAGATGTACAACTTGGAACGCTCAAAATCGTCTCTAGAAAAGTCACAGAGTATGCACGTGTCGATCAAGACGGAACCAGTAGACGACACGACCACCTAAGGAGGTGTATGTCGTCCTGTAGTGTATTTGTGAATAAGTTTTCAGTCTGTGTCATGAGAGATTTGTAGGCGAGAAATTCGGTAATTTTCAATCGTATATCCTTGGTAATACTGCAATTTAAGTCACATCACTTAACTGAGTTTTAGCATTAAAAAGATAAAATCACTTAGCTTATACATTAGTTTTAGCATCCAAAAAATGGATAGTANTGATAGTAACTGATATGACACACTTGCCGTGGATGTCGTAAAATGATGATGAAGATCCATAAAATATTGATAAGAATTTGTGTGTCAATCCAATATAGTAATTTTTGTAAAGTTTGTACTGCAGTATTACATAAATAAAATATATCTCTCAAATATATAAACAGTGTGATTATTTGGACTATATTGCTACCATGGCATTTTAATTTGTTGAAGAAAAACTTCAAATTATCAGATAGTTCCTGTATGTTATTAAACTTATTAGAAGTTATTGTATTGCTTTTGAATTTGATTTCTGATTGTGATAAATATAAATAATTTGATTTATTATTTTTCTCTTCTCACTCTCATGACACTAGCAAAACTTATAGTCATATCTTGCTGATTGTTGATGAAAGAGAAAATGTGATATTTTATAAAGTTAGAGCTTGGCCATTTAGGTTCATAACTATTATCCTAAGATATTTTTAAGTGTATATTGTATTTATGTAGGTATTAACCACACCTCAACGAATTAGTGTACCACAGTGTAGAGTAATTGAAACAACAAAACATCATAAAACTTTGAAGTTTGTAGCATTTTTAACGACATCCTTGTACTTTTTCAAGGTGTTTATACACAAATAATTCATAGGTATGTATTAGTGGCAACGCTTTTTTAGTAAAATTACACAAATTAAGGTGATTTGTACGCTTATTTAATACTTTTAACAAAGTAATGATTTAATTACATAAAAACACTGAATACTTAGTAATCCATCATTTGTTTACAAATTACCACTAACTGACGTACGCGACAGTGACACTACTAAAGAAAATGATTTTGAATTAATTAATGATTAAAAATCGGCTCAGTATTAATAACTTGATTCATAATGAAAACCATTGTTTTGTCCGAAATATTGAGGTATAAGTAAGTATTTAAATGTTTAAGTTACGCTTTCCTATATGTATGTATAATTAACTCGATCAAATAAAATGTAGGTTACTAAGGTTGCAATTGCGGCCATTTGTAAATGTGAAATTACAAGGGATATAATAATATTATACAATTATCACTAGCTAAGTGTATACGTTCTTGTCTTGAGACATAATTTTGTATACTATAGCACTGTGAAGTAAAGTTAATGTATATTATACGCGATTTTATAAATGTAACACAATGCGGGGCACAGTTGACATCAAAAAGTTATTTGTTAAAAAAAAACCATCTACATTTTTAGCCTATGTGATTGTTATCGAACGAAAACGTATATTTTTAACACTTTGACAGTATTTTTTATGTTGACTGTGCTATTCTTATTATTGTGCTCGCAATCAATAACAACGTGTGCAATAAAAATTTAAAATGCATGCGGTAAAGGCCCATATTATGAAAGGACACTCAAGTATGATTATCAAGAATAAATTCAAAACAAGTGCCTAATTAAGTTTCTTCCGGCACTACTCAACGCTAGCTGATAATTTATGTTTTCTTCAAGTGGTAAGGTAGCTGTTTTAAGTGATAAATTTTAATGTGCCGTGAAAATGTCTAAGTAACTAATGACATAAAATTTGAAAACCGGTAACTTGAGTTTAAATTTATTTTCGGTTTCGTTTCAGAATATGGGCCGTGTCTGCCACGAATTAATGGAACAAAATTATTGTTTATTCTTCGACTGGTAGACATTATTAAGATGTGACTAAAGCTAAAGATCGTGTCGTTATAATACATTCCAAATGTAAGGTTATTGTTAGGACAATAAAAATGATTTTATGTATGTGACAATGGAAATAAAACAAGTATTTTATATATTATTTCTTTCATTATGTATTAACAACTTGATTAACATTGCCAAAATAAAATAAGGTTATTGATAAATAACATTCATAGTAACAAAACAAATAAGAAACGATAATCCGACTACGTGTACCTCTCTCATTCACTCAAGTTAACATTGTTTTCTGCGAAAAAGAGACAGGTACAGCCGAAATATCAAAATCGTGGTATTTATCAACATCAATTGGAATGCAAAATATCATCAGCAGGCTCTCCTATCTTAATATCACTGAATTTCACAACCAAACCCTCTCTTTGCGGGCTACAACACATAGGACCCACGAGGACCGTCTCGGCCTCAAACGGACTTAACCTCAAAAGTATCCAAGTAATGTTATCGATGGAGTATTTGACGCAAACCACACCTTTTGTCCAGGTCAGCCGCAGCCAAAATTTACGAGGATTGCCGGGATAGACTCCTGAAGATCAAAAATTAAGTTTTAGCGGTAACTGTAACAGGCGGCCGCCATTTTGAAAATCTCCCTGTCATGGCGGGTAATTAATTAATTTAATTAATGAAGCTTCCGGAAAATTTTCTTTGTTAAAATCAATATACAACAAGGTTTATTCAATATCGTTGGCATTATTAAAAATGAATTCAAATTCAAATAATTTATTTGTGAAACACAGGTAAGGAGTATGATATACAAACAAAATGAAATTAATATTATTTGTATATTTGCAAAAAAATGCACACCCATCCAAATATTAACCACTCCGGAAGTTGCTTAATCATTATTATTTTTCGGTAGTTTTCCCCAAAACTACCCCAAAAAATAAATCGTATTTTATCAAATGAATAAAATCTCACCAGTAGCCCAATCGGATAATACGTTGGTCATTACGCTACCGATCATAGGCTGCCCGTCATTGTACTCGATGCCAGCCTTCAGCCAATGCTTTTCATCTGAATAAATCATTAGCCCAGCTTGATCATACAATGTCGTGAAATCGGCTTCGACACGCACCTGAAATAATATTACTTTTTTACTAACTTTAGGATATTCCATTATCGCGGTTTAGTAGTTGTTAGATAGCGCCATCTTTTGAGAAAAGGTAGTAACAGTCGTACAAGGTCTTCAACCTACCCTTATTTACTTACCTACTATTTGGCAACATTCGTTAATCAAAGCGAGCAATGCTTGCGTTGTTAAAAGCCGGGTCTCAGCTTCAAGTCCCGGTTAAAGTAGGTACTTTATAAATAAAAAAAAAGTTACATTAATTACATTCAATTATTTGCTAAGAGACTTAATTTACTTTGTTATTTTTTTTTCAGGCTAAGTAACAATTGCAATTTTTTATTTGCAAAAAATACTGTAACTTACTGTAAATTCGAAGTCATCTTTTAGTCGTGCGCCGAAGACGTGGCCAGTATTGACGTGGAAGTTATACCACGTTCCTTGCCAAAAGTCGGTTCTGTTGTCCGTGGTGGCTTCCAAAGTCTCCTTGTCAAGGTGCCAGTGTTTTGGTTCGTTTAGCCACTGGAAATCTTTTAGTGTAACGTTGTCAAAATCAGCTCTCTCCATAGTATGAGCTAAAATATTAAACGACAACAAGATTAGATAGATAAAGACCAAGCTTAAATAGTTCAATAAATGAAACATTGTTAAAATTATTGTAATGAGGACGACTATTCAAAGCAAAATGATTTACGAATAATGCTCTTGAAATAGCAAAACAATCATTTTATACATCAGACGCACTTAATTTAGTTATTATTATCTATAAAATACCTACTATTTTACTACCTATCTTCTGAATCTGATTGAAATGTTGTGGTAAGTGTTCTGATAAATACTCAAGTGTTTACTTATTGTGTGTGTGATGTGGACAGCGGTTATCTCACTACCACTACTACCAGTATACATTAATAAATATTACCAGTTAGTAACTTTTGTGCCTATTCATAAACTTACGTAATTTAATAAAATCACAAGTTATTATTACAATAAAAACTAAATTCTATCAAGTAATTGGTAGTTATATTGAGTTTAATGCTTGTAACCCTAAATATTTTTCTTTGGTGGTTGGTTTGAGCTTGCAACATCGATTCTCGTCCATTTTTGAAAATGTCGTCATTTCCGCAAGCGGCAGCACGGCGCAATGGCTCCGCGCGGTTTATGAAGAAATTAAAGTGTATATTTGTGTTTAGATAGATAATAGAGGTATTAATTGAAGAAATATTATATTTATTGCATTATCACGATGGGAAAACCTGGTAAGTGCAACTTTTCATTACTTTTATCTTTATTTCAAGTGCGGGTACCTCATGGTGGTACCACGCCGCATTAGGTTTAATAATTTTTTATACAAGTTCTATTAACAGATAATAAATTGTATTATAAAAAGCCACGTGTGTATGCTTAAAACTCTATTTTAATATTATTTACGCATTTATTTGCTTGATGCCCCACACGAAGCGGCGTGGTATTTTAGGTTATGTTTTGTTACCGAATTTTTCAATCAATATCAGCGTTTATTTTTGACTAGCTGACCCGGCGAACTTCGTACCGCCTTAGCGTAGAGATTTTCTTAATATTTTTTTCCGTAAGAACCATCCTTGGACTTCCACAAACATTTAAAAAAAAGAATTATCGAAATCGGTTCAGCCGTTCACACGTGATGCCGTGACAACGCGAAACGGGTTTCATTTTTATATATATAGATAACAACAAATTAAATGTAAATTATAAACCAGTATCTAGGTATATTAGCCACGATTTGTTTATCTTTAGCCTAGAACTACCCTCTGACTAACATGGTTTTTACTTGGGCACCCATGCTACGGTCACCACGTTGTGTAACCATACCATGATATTGGTGAATTTTACGTGATATTTTATGTAAAATACCTTTTTTGTCGTGGTAATAGAGCACAAGCCACGATATCAAGGTGGCTTGAATGAAATAATTATAGTCCTTAAATGTCTGCATTATAGAATCTGGACAATTTATACCTTCCTACCTTCATCCACATTTATGGAGGTCTAACCTAGCTCTATTATCCATAAGGAATCTACCAACTCGTCAGTAGCTTTATGAAACATTTTGCTAAATCCAGTATTCAAGCCATATAATAAAAAAGTTGTATGCGCAGAGTATTTGGTTGAAGAGCTTCATGTAATTTAGGAATATAACTACTTACATTGCAAAATGAAATTGTTAAGCATTTACATGTGAATCTGCTATTTTATTTCCACATACCCACATCTGATATTATGTTAAAATTTAGTTACCTACCTACTTAACTACTTCATAGGTCCAACACAATGTATATTGTTTTTAAATGGAATAAACTTATGACTTATAAAAAGTACCTGTACCCTAAAAAGCAGACAGGCGACACATTTTTCTAAATTTTTTTTTACTAGCGACCCACCCGGCTTCGTGTGGGTGCTGAGTATAAATAAAATAATAAACCTGCCTCTTGAATCACTATCTATTAAAAAAAACGCATCAAAATCCATTGCGTAGTTTTAAAGATCTAAGCATACATAGGAACAGAGCGTTCCCACCACTGCAACTCCTGAGTAGCCAGGATCTACAGCTTGACCGCCATAAAAACCCAACCAATGAAGGTCAAGTTTGTCCCGGGGGAAAGTTAAACTGTCATTGGACCCGCAACAAAATTAATCAGAAGAACTTAAGGAGTTCAAAATTATACATATACTATGTAGTGAAATACATAAAATGATGATTGTGGTCCCTCTAATCTTGACCTATTCGTGAAGACTATATCCACATACCCACTTCTGATACCACTTGAGCATATTCAAACTCCATCCTTTTCCATCGCAGTCTAACTAATTCATGTTAATATTTCAGAGTTCAACAACCGCGGAGGCGGCGGTAGAGGCGGCGGCGGCGGGCGCGGTGGCGGTGGCTTCCGCGGCGGTCGCGGTGGCGGCGGCGGCCGCGGCGGCTTCGGCGGCGGTCGTGGAGGCGGCGGCGGTTTTGAGAAGAGAGGAGGAGGCGGACGCGGGTTTGGAGGCAGAGGCGGTGGTAAGTGTCTAAAAGAAAGACTTTATTGGGGAAAAAATATGTATTGAAAAGATAGACTGAAATTGTAGGCAACTGCTTTATAGAACACAGAAGCAGATCATTAAAATTTCTATGTGATTAGTTGCTTCTCAAACTAAATTATAAATAAGTATCTTGAAAAATCGATTTTTTTATTTGCGTAGGTACTTTTTTTCAATTCTCTACTCATTTTTGTAGCAAATATGTACAGGAACATGTGAATATTAGCAATTTATCTAATTTAAATATTAAGTGGCTAGAATTTGACAAAATTACTGAGATCTGAATGAAACAATGCCTATCGCCTAAGCATGAATCTACAATAAGTATCATTCTCAACTCAATGTATGAGGTATGAATTTTGAATGGTTTCTTCTGTAGTATTAACAAAATGATGATTGTGGTCCCTCTAATCTCGACCTACTCGTGAAGACTATATCCACATACCCACTTCTGATGCCTCTCTACCAACAAATCAACAGACATCCAGAAAAAAAGATATCAACGAAGTATAAACTTACAGGCAGAGGCCGTGGCGCGCCCAGAGGCAGAGGCGGTGGCGGTGGCTTCAAAGGAGGCAAGCAAGTTATCATCGAACCACATAGGTTTGTTATTCTTCCTTCTAATAATACTGTATATCCAAAAAAAAAATTGTCTTTATTTGTTCAGACTAATTAAATTAGTACTTACAAATCGTCAAATGCTCTTAACACTTTCCCGGACAGTAACCCAGACACAATAGAAATTTAAAAATTGTTATGACAGCTATAGCAGTTCACTGTCCAGGAAAGTGTTAAGGAGCCTATACATGTCTCATTCTTTTTATAAGAGTTTGTTAGTACTTTTAATCGAATAAACATACAGATGTTCAAGAAAACAGGAGTTGAAATAATTTTGTATCAAGATATTTTATTTCCTAATCATTTAAGAATCTGCAAAAACTTGTAAGTCCACATTATGATTAGTGCAAAATTATGTGGCTTGTTGATGCATTTCTTTTGTTTGAAAAACCTGCAATAAATGCAAAATATTTTATACTCTTTACTATAGCGATGGTACACCATCGTCTGTTGGTGGTTTATAAATATTATACTAGATCAGTAGATTTCTTGATCATCCTATTTGATTTGAAAGACAATTTGTATTCAAATGATGCTACCAATTACTTTCGTTCTTCTGAATGCGAACGCTTGAAGTGACCATAACCATACTGATAACACTATCTCAAACTACATAACAGTATTTCACACTTCACATATTTAACGGTAGACTTATTTTACAGACACGCTGGAGTTTTCATTGCACGAGGCAAGGAGGATGCGTTGGTCACGAAGAATTTGGTGCCCGGATCTGAGGTGTACGGAGAAAAAAGAATATCAGTGGAGGTTTGTGCTCAATTTTAATTTTAAATTTTATTTACTACAATTATTTAGTTATTGAGATTTTGTTTATGAGAATGTCATGGTAAATTAGCCTAAACGCAGACTGCAGACGTTTCGGCCGATAGTTTAGTCGCGCAGTTAATCAGTATGGGCATGTATGGAAGTGCGCACGTTACGCTGATTTGTTATCGGCTGATTCTTCATACAAATTAGAATCGGGCCCAACTATCGGCCAACTAAAAGTCGGTGGTCTGCACCTAGGCTAAGTTAGCCTTTTTTTGAGTAGTTTAGTTGTCAACTCATAAGTCAAATTTTGTTCATTAGTCATTACTGCAGGTGTTGCTTAGCAGTATTTTTTTAAAGGCAGTTAAACTACCTGTAGCCTAAAAAAGCGGACCAAAAACATTTTGTAAAATTATTAGTGAAAATACCTAAAATGATGATTGTGGTCCCTCTAATCTCGACCTACTCGTGAAGACTATATCCACATACCCACTTCTGACTCTCCCCACTTTCCACTTTACCCCCTCTTTAGCTATTACCCCACTAACTTTCATCTTACTTTCAGACCGACGGAGAAAAGGTGGAATACAGGGTATGGAATCCCTTCAGATCAAAATTGGCGGCTGCGATCATGGGAGGAGTGGACGCTATACACATGCCCCCTGGGTCCAGGGTTCTGTACCTCGGAGCGGCCAGTGGGACCACAGTCAGTCATGTGTCAGACGTTGTTGGCNGGATAGTAACTGATATGACACTCTTGCAGTGGATGTCGTAAAAACTACCAAAGGATTAATACGCGAACATCAGGCCTCCCTAACCCGTCTGGCTAGCGTAGGGAATGTAGGCGAAATCCTCCATTTGCCTCTGGAAAATAAGCATCGTGCACGTGAAGATCCATAAAATGTTCAAATTTTTTTTTTGTTCCAGTTTTTATAATTGTGTCACTCGAATTCAGTCATTTTTGCGTGGAAGTTATTGCAGTATTACCTCTATGGCTCAATATAAATAGTGTGATTATTTGGACTATATTGCTACCATAGCATTTTCATTTGTTGAAGAAAAACTTCAAATTATCAGAATGTTCCTGTATGTTATTAAAATTATTAGAAGTTATTGTATTGCTTTTGAATTTGATTTCTGATTGTGATAAATATAAATAATTTGATTTATATTTTTCTCTTCTCAATCTCATGACACTAGCAAAACTTATAGTCATATCTTGCTGATTGTTGATGAAAGAGAAAATGTGATATTTTATAATGTTAGAGCTTGGCCATTTAGGTTCATAACTATTATCCTAAGATATTTTTAAGTGTATATTGTATTTATGTAGTTATTAACCACACCTCAACGAATTAGTGTACCACAGTGTAGAGTAATTGTCATCATCAAACATCATAAAACTTTGAAGTTTGTAGCATTTTAACGACATCCTTATACTCTTTCAAGGTGTTTATACACAAATAATTCATAGGTATGTATTAGTGGCAACGCTTTTTTAGTAAAATTACACAAATTAAAGTGATTTGTACGCTTACATTACTTTTAACAAATAAATAATGATACAATAGGTTTTCGCGTATGAAAAATCCGCCAGATGGCAATACGTAGACGCGAGGTCCAAATGCTGCATGATTGGTTATTTTTGACATGACATTGACAGACATGTCAAAATCCACCAATCACGCAGCAGTCAGACCCCACATCCACGTCCCGCCATCTAGCGGATCTTTCATACGCGAAAACTCCATCATTTGTTTACAAATTATCACTAACTGAAACACTGCGGCAGTAAAACTACTAAAGAAAATAATTTTGAATTAATTAATGCTTAAAAAATCAGCTCAGTATTAATAACTTGATTCATAATTAAAAGATTAAAATCATTGTTTTAACTGAAATATTGAGGTATAAGTAAGTGATTTAATAATATATTTAAGTTACGCTTTCCTATATTATGTATAACTCGATCAAATAAAATGTAGGTTACTAAGGTTGCAATTGCGACCAGTTTGTAAATGTGAAATTACAAGGGATATAATAATATTATACAATTATCACTAGCTAAGTGTATACGTTCTTGTCTTGAGACATAATTTTGTATACTATAGCACTGTGAAGTAAAGTTAATGTATATTATACGCGATTTGATAAATGTAACAACAAATGCGGGACACGGTTGACATCAAAAAGGTATTTGAAGTGTTAAAAAAAACATCTACATTTTTTAGCCTATGTGATTGTTAGCGAATGAAAATGTATATTTTTAACACTTTGACAGTATTTTTGATGTTGACTGTGCTATCATATTTTTTACTATTGTGCTCGCAATCAATAACGTGTGCAGTAAAATTTTAAAATGCATGCGGTAAAGGCCCGTATTATGAAAGGACACTCACGTATGTTTGATTATAAGAGTAAATTCAAAACAAGTGCCTATTTAAGTTTCTTCCGGTACTACTCAACGCTAGCTGATAATTTATGTTGTCTTCAAGTGGTAAGGTAATTTTAAGTGATACATTTTAATGTGCCGTGAAAATGTCTAAAGATGTAACTAATAAGACATAGAATTTGAAAACCGGTAACTTGAGTTTAAATTTATTTTCGGTTTCGTTTCAGAATATGGGCCGTGTCTGCCACGAAATAATGATTGTTTATTCTTCGACTGGTAGACATTATTAAGATGTGACTAAAGATCGTGTCGTTATGATACATTCCAAATGTAAGGTTATTGTTAAGACAATAAAAATGATTTTATGTATGTGACAATGGAAATAAAACAAGTATTTTATATTATTTCTTTCATTATGTATTAACAACTTGATTAACATTGCCAAAATAAAATAAGGTTATTGATAAATAACATTCATAGTAACAAAACAAATAAGAAACGAGAATCCGACTACGTGTACCTCTCTCATACACTCATGTTAACATTGTTTTCTGCGAAAAAGAGACAGGTACAGCCGAAATATCAAAATCGTGGTGTCTGGCTACATCAATTAGAATGCAAAATATCATCAGCAGGCTTGCCTATCTTAATATCACTGAATTTCACAACCAAACCCTCTCTTTGCGGGCTGCAACACATAGGACCAACGAGCACCGTCTCGGCCTCAAACGGACTTAACCTCAAAAGTATCCAAGTAATGTTATCGATGGAGTATTTGACGCAAACCACACCCTTTGTCCGGGTCAGCCGCAGCCAGAATTTGCGAGGGTTGCCGGGGTACACTCCTGCAAGATCAAAAATTAAGTTTTAGCGGTAACTGTAACAGGCGGCCGCCATTTTGAAAATCTCCCTGTTATGGCGGGTAATTAATTAATTAAAATAATGAAGCTTCCGGAAAATAAATTTCTTTGTTATGATCAATATACAACAAGGTTTATTCAATATCGTTGGCATTAATAAAAATGAAATTAATATTATTTGTATATTTGCAAAAAAATGCACACCCATCCAAATATTAATCACTCCGGAAGTTGCTTAATCATTATTATTTTTCGGTAGTTTTCCCCAAAACTACCCCAAAAAATAAATCGTATTTTATAAAATGAATAAAATCTTACCAGTAGCCCAATCGGATAATACGTTGGTCATTACGCTGCCGATCATAGGCTGCCCGTCATTGTACTCGATACCTGCCTTCAGCCAATGCTTTTCATCTGAATAAATCATTAGCCCAGCTTGGTCATACAACGTCGTGAAATCGGCTTCGACACGCACCTGAAATAATATTACTTTGTTACTAACTTCAGAATATCCCATTACCGCGGTTTAGCAGTTGTTAGACAGCGCCATCTTTTGAGCATAAGCAGTAACAATCGTACTAGATCAAAAAATCTTCCCTACCCTTATTTTCCTACCTACTATTTTGGTGACATCATTCGTTATTCAAAGAGTCAGTGGTTTCCTATGTATTACTTTTCTCTATGGTCAGTGGTGCAATGCTTGCGTTGTTAAAAGCCGGGTCTCGGCTTCAAGTCCCGGTTTAAGTAATTTATAAATAAAAAAGGTTACATTGATTACATTAAATTATTTGCTCTGATACTTATTTTACCTTGTTATTTTTCTAAGTAGGTTCTTCAAAAACAATTTTTATTTGCAAAAAATACTGTAACTTACTGTAAATTCGAAGTCATCTTTTAGTCGTACGCCGAAGACGTGGCCAGTATTGACGTGGAAATTATACCAGGTTCCTTGCCAGAAGTCGGTTCTGTTGTCCGTGGTGGCTTCCAAAGTCTCCTTGTCAAGGTGCCAGTGTTTTGGTTCGTTTAGCCACTGGAAATCTTTCAGTGTAACGTTGTCAAAATCAGCTCTCTCCATAGTATGAGCTAAAATATTAAACGACAACAAGATTAGATAGATAAAGACCAAGCGAAAATAGTTAAATAAATAAAACATTGTTAAAATATTGTAATATAAACGACTATTCAAAGCAAAATGATTTACGAATAATACTCTTGAAATTGCAAAACAATCGTTTTATACATCAGACGCACTTAATTTAGTTATTATTATCTATAAAATACCTACTATTTTACTACCTATCTTCTGAATCTGATTGAAATGTTGTTGTGGTAAGTGTTCTGATAAATACTCAAGTGTTTACTGTGTGTATGATGTGGACAGCGGTTATCTCACTACCAGTATACATTAACAAATATTACCAGTTAGTAACTTTTGTGCCTATCAAACTTACGTAATTAAAAAAAATCACAAGTTATTACAATAAAAACAAAATTCTAGAATTCTATCAATTAATTATTGGTAGTTATATTGAGTTTAATGCTTGTAACCCTAAATAGTTTTCTTTGGTGGTTGGTTTGAGCTTGCAACACCGATTCTCGTCCATTTTTGAAAATGTCGTCATTTCCGCAAGCGGCAGCACGGCGCAATGGCTCCGCGCGGTTTATGAAGAAATTAATGTGTATATTTGTGTTTAGATAGATAATAGAGGTATTAATTGAAGAAATATTATATTCATTGCATTATCACTATGGGAAAACCTGGTAAGTGCAACTTTTTTCTTGTATCTTTATTTCAAGTGCGGGTACCTCATGGTGGTACCACGCCGCATTAGGTTTAATTATTATTTATACAAATTCCATTATCAGATAATAAATTGTATTATAAAAAGCCACGTGTGTATGCTTAAAACTAATTTTTAATATTATTTAGGCATTTATTTGCTTGATGCCCCACACGAAGCGGCGTGGTATTTTAGGTTATGTTTTGTTACCGAATTTTTCAATCAATATCTGCGTTTATTTTTGATAAAAGCAACTTAAATGTTAATTTTAAACCAGTATCTAGGTATAATAGCCACGATTTGTTTTTCTTTAGCCTAGAACTACCCTCTGACCAACATGGTTTTTACTTGGGCACCCATGGTACGGTCACCACGTTGTGTAATCATACCATGATATTGGTGAATTTTCGTGATATTTTATGTAGAATACCTTTTCTGTCGTAGTATTTATAGCACAGGCCACGATATCAAGGTGGCTTCAATGAATTATAGTCCTAAAATAACTACAGTAAAGAATCTGGACATTTTATATCTTCCTACCTTCATCCACATTTATGGAGGTCTAACCTAGCTCTATTATCCAGGAATCTACTACCTCGCCAGTAGTTCATTAAACAATTTGCTAAATCCAGTATTCGAGCCTTAGAATAAAAAAGTTGTATGCGCAGTGTTTGGTTGAAGAGCTTCATAATAGTTTGGGAATATAACAACCACCTCGCCAGTAGTTCATTAAACATTATGCTAAATCCAGTATTCGAGCCTTAGAATAAAAAAGTTGTATGCGCAGAGTATTTGGTTGAAGAGCTTCCTAATAGTTTGGGAATATAACAAGGTACCTAGTACCTACCTACATTGCAAAATGAAATAGTGTTGAAGGCCTTAAATGAAACGCATGGTAGAATTCTGAAATTGTTAAGCATTTACATGTGAATCTGCTATTTTGTTTCCACATACCCACATCTGATATTATGTTAAAATTTAGTTACCTACCTACTTAACTACTTCATACATGTAAATTAGCCTTTAGATACAGAGTTGCTTAGCAGTACATTTATTATCAAAATGTTTCATTTGTTAATTGGCAGTTAAAAGTACCTGTACCCTAAAAAGCTGACGGACTACAAATTTTTCTAATTATTTTTGACAAGCGACCTGCCCGGCTTCGCACAGGTGCTAAGCATAAATAAACCTTCCTCTTGAATCACACTATCCATTAAAAAAAACGCATCAAAATCCGTTGCATAGTTTTAAAGATCTAAGCATACATAGGGACAGACAGTGGAAAGTGACTTTCGCCCATATTCACAAACATTACTATGAGGTCTCACAATGCGCGTGGATGCACAGGGTAACACATGAACCAATCACAGAGCTCTATTCAACACTGTGCGTTCGATTTGCTGCTTCACTTGAGCAAGCATCGTTTGTGAATACGGGCGTTTGTTTTATACTATGTAGTGAACATAAAATGATGATTGTGGTCCCTCTAATCTTGACCTATTCGTGAAGACTGTATCCACATACCCACTTCTGATACCACCCGAACATATTCAAACATCACCTTGTACCATCGCAGTCTAATTCATGTTATATTTTAGAGTTCAACAACCGTGGCGGCGGCGGTAGAGGCGGCGGTGGCGGGCGCGGTGGCGGTGGCTTCCGCGGCGGTCGCGGTGGCGTCGGCGGCCGCGGCGGATTCGGCGGCGGTCGCGGAGGCGGCGGCGGGTTTGAGAAGAGAGGAGGAGGCGGACGCGGGTTTGGAGGCAGAGGCGGTGGTAAGTGTCTGAAAGTTTTTTATTTGGATAAATCTGCATTGAAAAGAAAGACAGTGCGCAGGCAACTGCTTTATTAAGAACACAGAAGCAGATCATTAAAATTTCAAAATTCTAAAGTCGCTTCTCAAACTAAATTATAAAAAACTCATAAATAACTCATAAAACTCATTTATTTCTGCAAATAGGCTTTAAAAAAGCACTTTTACACGTCCCAGTATTAACCCTACCACTGCTTCAGATAAATTACTTAAAAAAGTCTAATTTTTTAATTTACTTCTTTTTAAATTCTCTACTCATTTTTGTAGCAAATATGTACAGGAACATGTGAATATTAGCAATTTATCTAATTTTAATATTGAGTCGTAGTTTGGACTAAATTACTGAGGTCTGAATGAAAACAACGCCTGAGCATGAGTGCAATAAGTTTAAGTATCATTCTCAATGTATGAATTTTGAATGGTTTCTTCTGTAGTATTAACAAAATGATGATTGTGGTCCCTCTAATCTCGACCTACTTGTGAAGACTATATCCACATACCCACTTCTGATGCCTTTCTACCAACAAATCAACAGACATAGAGAAAAAAAGATATTAACGAAGTATAAACTTACAGGCAGAGGCCGTGGCGCGCCCAGAGGCAGAGGCGGTGGTGGCGGCGGCTTCAAAGGAGGCAAGCAAGTTATCATCGAACCACACAGGTTTGTTACTGTTCGTTAAGTTTCCATAAGCTTGGTACCATTACCAAATTGTGAATTCAGTTTGGTCCGAAAAGAGTCTTTGTTTATACTTCTTACTTGGATTAAATAGGATATTCAAGAAAAGAATTTCTAGAAAGCATTTTGTAACAAGAGAGACATTTCTGAAGCACTCCAAATTCCTGATCATTTAAGAATCTGCAAAAAATGATAAGTACTCATTATGATTGGTGCAATATGTGGCTTGTTGATGTATTTCTTTTGTATGAAAAATCTGCATTAAATGTAAATATTTCACTCCTTTATCTGTGAAGTCACTTATTTGTAGCACATGATTTATGGTTCTTCTTATTGTAGCTTAGGAACTCTGTAGGTCTGCTCCAATTTCTTGAACATTCTATTTGATTTGAAAGACTTTAATTTGTATTCAAATGATGCTACCAATTACTTTCGTTCTTCTGAATGCGAACGCTTGAAGTGAACATAACCATACTGATAACACGTTATCACAAACTACTTAAAAGTATTTCACACTTCACATATTAACGGTAGGTTTATTTTACAGACACGCTGGCGTGTTCATTGCACGAGGCAAGGAGGATGCGTTGGTCACGAAGAATCTGGTGCCCGGATCTGAGGTGTACGGAGAAAAAAGAATATCAGTGGAGGTTTGTGCTTAATTTTATTGTTGAAACTACAATTATTTACTTACTTGGTTTAGATTTAGACTTAATGAGAATGTCATGGTAAATTAGCCTAAACGCAGACTGCAGACGTTTCGGCCGATAGTTTAGTAGGGCAGTTAATCAGTATGTATGGAAGTGCGCACATTACACTGATTTGGTATCGGCTGATTCTTTATACAAATAGAATCGGGCCCAACTATCGGCCAACTAAAAGTCGGTGGTCTGCACCTAGGCTAAGTTAGCCTTTTTTTGAGTAGTTTAGTTGTCAACTCATAAGTCAAATTTTGTTCATTAGTCATTACTGCAGGTGTTGCTTAGCAGTATTTTTTTAAAGGCAGTTAAACTACCTGTAGCCTAAAAAAGCTGACCAAAAACATTTTGTAAAATTATTAGTGAAAATACCTAAAATGATGATTGTGGTCCCTCTAATCTTGACCTACTCGTGAAGACTATATCCACATACCCACTTCTGACTATCCCCACTTTCCACTTACCCCCTCTTTAGCTATTACCCCACTAACTTTCATCTTACTTTCAGACCGACGGAGAAAAGGTGGAATACAGGGTATGGAATCCCTTCAGATCAAAATTGGCGGCTGCGATCATGGGAGGAGTGGACGCTATACACATGCCCCCTGGGTCCAGGGTTCTGTACCTCGGAGCGGCCAGTGGGACCACAGTCAGTCATGTATCAGACATTGTTGGCCCGGTAAGTTCATTTTAAAGACATCTTAATTTCTCTAAGCGTAGTGCAGACCACCGATTTTTTGTTGGCCGATAGTTGGAACTGTTAATCAATACGGAGATGTATGAAAGTGCTTACATTACACCGATTTGGTATCGGCCGTTTCTTCATACAATTTAGAATTGGGCCCAACTATCGGACAACTAAAAATTAGTGGTCTGCGCCTAAAGCCTGGTCCGTGAGCACGTAGAATTTTGTCCCGTCGCACAGTCGCGACAGCAATATAATTACGCGCGAGCGATAAGGATGGGTAGCTTGGGGTCATTGGACAAAATTCTACGTGGATTCTACAGGCTTTAGGCGCAGACCACTAATTCTTCAGGGTTTAGGCTTAAGTTTATTTTAAAGACTTCTCAAGCCAATAGGGTTACTTCGAGTAACATTATCCGAAGTCTCGAATGTTGTCATCCCTCTCACGCAAAGCGATGCTATCATGGGCGACGGTGACAGTAGACAGTAGCCCTTTTAACTTGAGTTGTCTAAACTAAAATTTTATTTCCAATGATGAACCAAAATTCAGACCTATTCGTGAAGACTATACTTATCATCACCCACTATACTGATGAATCCCATCATTCAATACTATGTACTTCTTTCTGCCTCTTTCTAATGCTAAGTTTGTTTCCAGGAGGGTCTCGTATATGCAGTCGAGTTCTCCCACCGGTCTGGCAGAGATCTAATCAACGTAGCCAAGAAGCGCACCAATATTATACCTATTATTGAAGATGCTAGACATCCACTCAAATACAGGTAAGTTTGCTAGCTATTTAAAAACCTGTAGGGCCTAGGCGATAAGCTTTTAAGACATTTTATCGATTTTACGCGATAAGTCAATCCAGGTGGGGATTCTTGGATGGCTTAAACATGGAGTGCAGGTGCGGTTTTGTTCCCCAGTCGATGAGGCACCTGATGTCGTGCCCTGAGTGCCCAAGCAACTGCACTCAGGAGGATTTGATGAGTGCTGCCGACAACGCTACTCTTGTGGCGGAGTTTTGGGCTGACACTGTGTAGGTTTGTTGTCGACACGAAAAGAAGAAGTCAATGCATTTGTCGTCTAAAACCGACGATAAAATTTTATCACGGCGCGCATCCTAGCCTGGCTGATGACAATGGTTTATTGTTGATATCCATTTGATTTGTTAAATAGAATTTGACACACATTTTAAATAAACTTCAAAATATGTGCACAAGTATTTCTGGTACTATGGGCCACACTCCTAGCTGCCATTCCCGGTCATGTCGTCTCGTTCTATAGCACAGAATCGCCATTTGATGAGAGCGAGAGAAAAAACGGAAATGGGTAGCTGGAACTGTGACCTGTAGTACTTAAGAACTAAAGTCCGGTCGCCGAGCTAATATAATTTCTTCCAATGACCCTAACCCAAGCTATCCTTATCGCTCGCGTGTATTATATTGCTGTCGCGCTCGCACACTCACTGCGGCCGCCCGTCGCACAGTCGCGACAGCAATACTTATAATACGGGCGAGTGATAAGGATGGTAGCTTGGGGTTATTGGACGAAATTCTATCTGCGCAGCGACCGGACTTTAGTATTTAGTATGTGTTCATAAAATATGATGATGATCCTATGAACTAAATCTTTCATGTTGAAACAACTTTGAACTCTCTCTCTGATTCTCTCCCGGAATAAACGCCACATATCTTCTTCAAAACTCGCTAAATCTCTCTCTCTTCCAGAATGTTGGTGGGCATGGTGGATACAATATTCGCCGACGTGGCTCAGCCAGACCAAGCGAGAATAGTCAGCCTGAACGCGCAGCACTTCTTGAAGAATGGCGGCCATTTTGTTATATCAATCAAGGTAAGTTTTGGTTCTGTAGCTGAGAAATTTAGGAACCACACTCGTAGATGTCAATCTGTTATCGTGTAGGATCATACGGCGTCATTCCTAAAGTATAAAAAATAAACTGGCACTATTAGATGTCTGTAACGACGAAAAATACATAAATATGTGGACTTGACATCTTTGAGTGTGAAGTAAACTTACGCCCGTATTCACAAATGATGCTCGCTTAAGTGAAGCAGCAAATCGAGCGCACAGCGTTGAATAGGGCTCTGTGATTGGTTCGTGTGTCACCCTGTGCGTCCACGCGCACTGTGAGACATCATAGTAATGTTTGTGAATACGCGCGTAAAATGATATTGTATTTGTTGTAATATACTTCCTATGATGAAAAAACATGGCTAAATTTTTCATGTTGAAAGTTGAACTCTCTCACTGAGGAATATTCTTTGTAAAAACTCATCATTCCCCCAAATTCTTTAGAAATAACACCAAACCTTTATTTCCAGGCTTCCTGCATAGACTCCACCGCGCAACCTGAGGCAGTATTCGCTGCCGAGGTGAAGAAATTACAAGCAGACAAATTAAAACCACAAGAGCAGTTGACCTTAGAACCATACGAGAGAGACCACGCGGTCGTTGTGGGCGTATTCAGACCTCCTTCTAAAAAAGCATAGACAATTCCATAGAATATCATAGATTAACCGCGCGCGAGTGTTGCCAGTGCTAAATGAAATATTTTTTTATGAGAACGCGCGATATTTTTAAGTTTTAGACATAAGTGAGTACGAATGGTCGTATAAATAAGATGTTATTATAGCTTTAAGTTGTTAAGAGAATATACAATGATGATGACTGTGAACACATTCTAGTTTTTTATTGGTCTCCTTTTTGTAGTTAACTTTAAATAGTATATCATATTATTAACGATCTTTCACTGTAAAGCGATAGGTTAACGAGAACTGTGATATCAGTAGGACGTACAGTACTTATTATTATTCTGTGGTAGGACTAATAAACAAAACCTCATTTTTTGCAGTGTTTAATGGTTGTTGTTCAGCGGAAATATAGATGACCCACGCTGAACTGTCCCACCAACTCAATGACAGGGGGGCGCTACCATCGTTCAACTATATGGTTTCCAACATGGCAAAAATCTGAACCAGCGATCCGGTATTGACGGTGGTGTCATGGATAGGACTGTTCAGTATATTGGAACTATAAAATGAATGAACTGGTTAGCGATCATTATGAGAGGGTGAATAAAATTTATCAAGTTGAGTTGCAAGACTATCCACTAGCACTCTTATGGGAAAAACAAAAGAGAAAGAATCAAGAGACACATTTCAGGAATTGGTAAACGCCCGCGCTCTGAATTGCATACTACTTTGACTTGGTGAACCGATGATCTCGTAAAAGTCGCGGAAAGCACCTGGATGAGGGCAGCGCATGACTAAACGGGTTTGACTATAGATCACTTGGTCACAGGGATCATAATTTGTGACTGCCCCGCCTTGCCCCACGAATCCTTTCCAGAGAATCTCAATTGAACGGAACTTTGAAAATTTCTCCCATTTTCAAAATAGAGAGAAATTCGAAAGTTATAACTAGGGAATTCCCCTAAATTCTTTCTGTGGGTTGGCATTGTTGTAGCAGTGGGGCCCCATCTTTTTATTTGCCCCTGGGCCCTTGGTTACCTAACTACGCCACTGTATTGGGACCCCTTCAAGCGTTCATCATCATCATCAACAGCCATTTACAGTCCACTGCTGGACTATGAGCCTCCGCCACTATAGTGGAGGGTTTTGCCATGATCCCCACGCTTGGCAGATCGCAGTTTAAAAGATTGATGTTTTTCAGAGAGCGCTGCTGCCCGTTCTTTTGATGTGTAGTCCCTAAGTCGCCTCTTACGACACCCGCGGGAAGAGTAGGGGTTGGTTCAAGCGATAATTTAATAGAAATAAAACAAGTTCATAAGTTAACATGGTCTATATTGATCGTCAATCCTCGTCGCTGCTGGCGGCCGCTTCGGCGTCGTCGCTCCACGACGCCGCGCTGTCTGACTGGTATTGTTCTAGCTCCATCTCTTCGTCTGATGATGTGTCTGGAATAGAAGAAAACATTAAATGTGACATGAATTTACGAATATGGGCGACTGCTCTGTCCTGTGTTTCCCAAACAAGTTTTTGGACTTGTGACGCTATTGGATTGTGAATTTGTGATTGCTTTTCCAGATAAAAAGTATCTTTTTTTACCGATTATTTATTTTAAGGGTAGTTCACACCATTAACCAATAATTCTAATAGACAACTTCTGGAACACCCATTTCCAGCTCTGAAAACCGAGATTGTTTTCAATAAAATACCTTTAAAATCGATAAAGTGGCTCACATTATAATCTCCTTTGTCATGCTAAATCTTTGGAAAGTAAAAGCCTTGTCAGTAAACTTTTTAAGGCTGGGTTGCACCACCTTATTTTGAATTTAACAAACGTCAAAAATCTGTCAAATTCCATACAAAAACCACCGGTTATTGTTAAAGTTAGGTGGTGCAACTCAGCCTAACAATGTTATTTTCGAGTATGCGCCTAGTATAGTGGTGTCAACTACCCTTTGAAACCTGTAGGGGATTGTAGTATACTAAAGCCCGGTCCGTGAGCACGTAGAATTTTGTCCAATGACCCCAAGCTACCCATCCTTATCGCTCGAGTGTAATTATGATGCTGTCGCGCTCGCACACTCACTGCGGGCGCCCGTCGCACAGTCGCGACAACAATATAATTACGCGCGAGCGATAAGGATGGGTAGCTTGGGGTCATTGGACAAAATTCTACGTGCTCACAGACCAGACTATACAATCATAAAATGCAGAGCATAATAAAATGGTCTAAATCAGTGTTTTTCAACCTTTTTCATGACACGACCCCTACTGTGAAAAAATTTTTTCGACGCGTTCGCGTTTTTTTTTTCATGCATTTTATAATGTTGCAAAGATGGGACCGAATACTTCAATCCATACAACATTTGCATAATTCGATTTCGGATTAATCTGTCTTTATAAGAAGGAGGTAGTATTTTCGACCCACAGGTTGAAAATCACTGGTCTAAATGATCGGAATCTAGTCTCACCGTTATACTCGAGCACGGCGGGTGCGTCGTGGCTTTCATCTCTCGCGGCGCGCTGGCTGCCCGTGAGCTCCAGCCGGCCCTTGAGGTTCAGCAGCTGGCACAGGTGCGACCGCCTGCAATACACCACAAAATTTTTATCATCGAAAAAAAAATTCTGGGTAATGATGAATTATTGATACTGATCCTATTTATGCAACAAAAAAAGTTAAATAAAGTTACTCAAAATTTCCTCCCAAAATTGGTAATTTATGGACACACGCGTCGCTAGCACTATTTACGTAAGATAATGTTACACTTATTAGAACTCAAAATTACTTGAAATGTTGCATTAAAATGGTCTAAGTTAGCTAATTAATAATAACACTGGAAGCGTGGTCGAAGCGTGAGCGAGACAGACATTCGGGACAATGTGCGAGCGCGTACGACTACTCGGAGTGCCCCAGCTGTGCCGCGTAAAATACGGACTAAAGAAAATTTAATAAAAAAATTAACTTTATGAACAAACAAAAATTTTTTTTACTTTATATTTTTCACACATTTCTACATAACCTGTACATTGGTTTATTAATTTAATAATATGGAATTCATTTATTTAATTGAAGTAAGTTTACAGATACAATACAGATTTATTCAAAGATACTACAAAGATTGTTAGTTTGGTGAAATACCTAGGTTTTAAATTAATATTTTGTATGTCAGGACCTGGAGAAAAAAGTATTTTAGTGTACAACACAAACAAAATAGTTCTTGTAATTTGTAGTTTCCGTGTTGATTTAGTTTAAAAAAATCCTTAGATATTATGTCAACGTGAAATTGTAAACTCCGTCAGTTTATAATACAACGCATGGGATTGTAATCCAGGACGTTGTAAGATTGTGATTTTACAACATCCAACCAATCATCATCCCATTTCATAAAAAAGTACGTGTGTATTTTTGCATGTAATAATGTTTTGAGCATATTATTATGATAGACTTAATTTCGTTAGCTGCAACCGGAGGTTCCAAGAAAAAGCAAACTTTATTTAATTAAATTTAATTTAAAAGAAAGAAATTACAATTAAACTAAAATTAGCCCAGCCTAGTGATACCGTCTCGAAGTATGAAACGAATATGATTATAAAATAATTAGTAAAATTAATGAAACGTCGCCGCTGTCGTCATGAGAGGCGCATTTTGCTGATGCTGCTCTTCGCGGTCCATAGTGCAGTTGCAATGTTGATTTGGGTAAACTGGGTCAGCGTCGATGCAGCGATCTTCATAGATTAGGCGTACGTAACAACTTACAAATCCGAAAATGAGGCATTTCTCTTCCATTCAACCTTAATGTAAACATGAATAATATCAACTTACCTGTAAGTAAACAATGCCAATAGCTGTGTGAGGTGATTCGAAGTGCGTGAGTTGGTCGTCGCCAGTAGAAGAGCAGAATGAGCTTTGAGCGTCGCCGCCAGCCATGAGCATACCGACGCGCATCTGATGAAAATAAAAACTTTGGACTTGGTGGAAAAATTCAATAAAAATTCATTTGCTTAGCCTTCTCTCTAAGGTCATTTTCACACGTCCCGGTCGCCGGCTATCCGGCGCCGGGTACCCGGTAGCTACGTACCATGCCCATACACTTCACCACCGGATACCCGGCGCCGGTTAACCGGCAACCGGGACGTGTGAAAAGGGCCTAAGGCACTGATAGTTGTAAATTTTCGTTAAATATCAACCTTATGATAAGTGAATAAGGTTCAAATTACAGGGGCAATATGCCAGAGTAGTGCAAAAAACTAAACGTCTAGCAAATATTCAAACTTAATCATCCTCACGTTTTACCAATATTGGCAATATTAATTACGGCATGCAAACATTTAAGCCTTTACCTGGTAGTGCAGAAATGTTACCACCATATTTTGAGCCTTATTAAGAAAACATAAGGTACGAAACTAATGAAAAATATTTTTCTCTATACCAGTTAAAGGGTTAAAACAGTTTTTGTTTTCTAATTATTTTCCTGTCTCAAATTAAGCCAAATCATTAACCATGAGTATAGGTCAGCTATTTGTGGAAATCCTTGGGAGAGGCATTTGTTCAGCAGTGGACGTCTTTCGGCTGAAACGAACGAACGAACAGGACAGTTGTACAATTACACAAGGCCCCTTGCCCAACAGTGGGCTTCCAGAATCTGATAGTGACACTCCATCCAATTTTGAAGTTAGATCTTTCAGTTCTCACTACGAGTATTAGTCAACTATATCACCACACAAGGCTCTTTGCCCAACAGTGGGCTTCAACACTCACTGGCTGGTCTTCCTGGTGGCCATGTCTGCGAGTTGCTCCAGCAGCATGGGCACGTAGCCCGCTGGTAGTCCAGAGACCGTCTGCGCGGCTACTAAGGGGTCGTCTTTTTGGAGCACTGTTAGTATTAGACTGAAAAGAAAAGAATAACATAAATTTAATTGAGTAGCACTATAATAATCTACTAATATAATCTGGGTTTCATTAAACAATCTCTTACCAAATTACTTCAACATTTACGATTAACAAACACCCATCCTTACAAACTTTCACGTTTATAAAATTAATTATTAGTGCTATGCTACTAACTTAGGGAGTATGCAATAGGTAAGTAAAAATACTAAAATTAGTTAAGAAATTAATGGTAAATAATAGGATTCTTTTCTTCTTTTTTTAAACGCCCAAAAATTTTATCTTTAACCCTAAACGCAAAAGTCTATAAAACTGTAACTGT